GTTGTTGCTACATAGTTTGTCTCATTCTCAAGAGCTAATTTTCAAATATGTATTTTGAAAAATATGAAAATGTTTTAAGAGATACATCATAAATTTAACACACATTGTAGTGATAAATATTCAAGAAGGTTCTTCAATTTTGCACATGAAGAGAAAAGAACAAAAATATCCCTTGAGTAATGAATAGTCTATCATATGTATCACATAAGCAGGAAGAGAACTAACATTTTTCATAAATAAACTTTTGCATAAATCATAATACATTTTTTCAAGATATCCTAAACAAATGTCTTCTGTAGTAAAATGACTCACTGAAGCAATATTTTAATTGGAAAAATAAATCTAGGTCTTTTAGAAACAGTAAGTTCTAATTACTTATATAAATGTCCATAAATATAGAGACTATACTTAGTATGTTTTGTTGGAAGGGCATGCGTGGTATTTGGATTTACATATATATTCATTCAAATAACTGCTCTCCTTTATTTATGACCTTGGAATGCTACTTTAAAAAGTGACTGTTTCATAGGCTCTTCAATGTTAATTCTAAAATATAAATAATTAGTGATAGGTTTGTTGGAAGGAATAAATGAGGAACTTTCTGCGTGCACTAGAGGAAACTGCCTTTCCAAGCCTCAGTTTCCTATATGTGGCTGTTATTATTGTGAATGCAGTAATTTATGTAAAGAGCTTGAGTGTTCATGAATGTCAGTCATTATTATTAACATATTTGAATGTCTAAAACCATGCTTGGCATAATAGATACTTAATGCATGCTCTTAACCAATAAGATACATTTTGTCAGACTTTTAAAATGTGGAAGATAAGAAGCATTAAATATGCAGCAATTCCATGTGGTTTGCTAATATAATATCTAAATATCTGGAACTGAGATTGTTTCACTCAAGTATGATAATTTAGATATAAAAACTCCAGAAGCTGAATTTACTTGATAAAGTAATAAGGATTTAAAAATTAATTAAGAATGAAAACAAGAAATGGAGTAAAAATGAAAAAAATGAGAGGGTGGGAAGGGGGAAAGAAAGAAGAAAGGAAAGGAGCAAGAAGGGATGGATAGTTTTGCAGTATCAATTTTTTTTTCCTTCACACACAATCAGCAACTGAATGGTCAAAATGATTTGAATCTTCTTTAAATGGAATTTATTGGAGCGACAGTAGTTAATAAAATTATATAGGATTAAGGGGTACAATTCTATATTACATCATCTATATATTGTGTTGTGTGTTCACTACCCCAAGTCATGTCTCTTTCCATCACCATTTATTCTACCTTTACCCTCTTCCATCTCCATTTCCCTCTGTTAATGTTCATACTGTTGTCTGTCTATGAGGTTCTGTTTTGTTTGCTTAACCCCTTCACCTTTTTCAACCAGCCGCCCTACCTCCTCCCTTCTGACAGCTGTTAGTCTGTTTTCAATATCTATGAGTCTGTTGAATCTTGAAATGTATTGTGAAACTATAAGGAAACCACAAAGGATTTATAAAATAAGATGATGTGCTGAAGCCAATGGGAATTGCTGGAAAGGATTTATTAAAGGCTTCAAATTAATCTGAGACTTTAGCATCCCAAAGCTTTAACATCAGCTAGTCCTGCTTAAAATAATTATGTTATACTCTTAGGCTTTGGAAGCCTTAGTGTTAAAAGTAAGCATTAGTTAAGATACTTATTTCTGGTAAATATTTTTTTATTGCTTAAAGTATTACAAAGGGTATTGCATATGTCTCCTTTTTATATCATAACATATAGGAAATATGGACATCTTTGATTTTGTGTAATAAACTTCTAATAGGTTACCTTAAATGTTTACTTTGAGATAGAAATAACTGATTATTAACTTTCTACTCAATTTAATTGATATTGTGTTATTAAATATTGTAACAAATAGAATGATTCAGTTTCCCTGCTTCTAGGATATGTGATAAAATTAAATGATCACTGTATGTTTTCCTTCTATTCTCTCAGTAATTCTCTCACTCAGCAATTCTTACTCTGAGCATCCCTTTAAGGTCTTGAATTTGTTCAAAGATTTAAATTACTGTTTACATTGGTAACACTTAAGAAAATAAATTGTCAATCCTGAAACTAAAACTTTTGCCATCACTTTATTTGTGTACAAAAATATCTCTCTCTCTTTCTCTCTCTCTCTCTCTCTCTCTCTCTCTCTCTCTCTCTCTCTCTCTCTGAATAATTCATATGGGATATAGCAGAAGTGAAAGATATTTGTTTTAAGTGCCTCTGATGTTCTGATGTCTTTTTATTGCTATCCATCCCATCAAGAAAAGATGTAGGTTTTCTTTCATCTTTGGAAGGGAATTGATGACTTCCAGGAAAATTATGTGAACTAGTATGTGACCTTAAATGTTTATTCAAGTTCTTTCTATCATTCTTTAATATAAAATTCTGAGATTCTATGCATTAAAAATGAAGCCAAAGATCTCAAAAATATAATTTTGAGAAGTATGAGATACATACATATAGGGTGCCTATTATATGTTAATATATATTAGTGTATATATATCTACACTAATAAAAGAGAAACATGGTAATTAGTGTATGACTGCTACCCTTTTCATTGGCTAATCAGTGAGTATATGCAAATTAACTGTCAGCCAAGATGGCGGCCGGCAGCCAGGCAGCTAGAAGCGAACATGAGGCTTGCTTGCTGCAGTGAAGGAGGACTCCAACGTTCCCCGCCTCACTTGCCGGCCTCTGAGCTACAGCTCTAAGCAACTATGTACTATGTTGCAAATAAGAAGATAAACAAAACCCCAGAAACCGGCTTTCATTCAACCGGGCTTTAGCAACATTGTATCAATGTTTTCAGCAGCGAGGCCTCAGAGCTAAAGCTGGCCCAGAATAAAAAAAAAAAAGAAAACAAGGAGCGGTTGGAAGCTTCAGTCACTCGCTTCCGGAAAACAGCCCTCAGCCCCTCACCCAGACTGGCCAGGCACCCAGTGGGGACCCCCACCCTGATCCAGGACA